AAATCTGAAATTTTCAGAAACTTTTGTCCAAATCTGATAAATGTTTAAGTATCTATAAATAGTCTTTTAAAAAAGGACCAATGAACCTTTTCTACAGACAGCATTAACCAGATTTTTTTAAATCTAAAATGAGACATGATATAATGAAATGTCATTTAAAAAAAATAAGTAATTGTCTGCCTCAAGTGACTGGCTGCAGGCATTTCTTGGCACAGTATTAAACTATTTTTTTAGTAACTAATTTTAAAATCAAACAAGGCAGGGCAGTATTTCTCATTTGAAGACCATACACCATGGCTGATGCACAGGACACTGGAATTGTGCTGTGCCTCCCTTTTTCATGTTATATTGCCTGAAAATAGCTGGGTATTTCAATCTTTCACTATTCCATCTATTTTTAGATTAGCTGGTAAAAAACAAAATTAATTTTTTTTAGCTTCAGATAAGATTTTCTACATTAAAAATCTGTTCTTTTCATCTGTGCTTTATAAGCAACAGTAGTTTGTGTCATATAAAGAGAGATGCAGTATTTCAGGGAATTCCTTTTAACTTTCTTACTGAAGTGCTTGGTAGCCTTTATCAAAAGACTCCTCACCCCTTAACAGACTCCCTTTAATTGGCCACTTGCACGGTCAGTTAATATACTGCAGTAGAAACCAAGTGGTAAAGTGTGAACAACTGAATCTGGTACTATAAACTCAGTGACTGCTCTGAAACCTGTAGCTGTTTATATACAAGCCAGTGTTTTGTCATGCTGATTTTTATTAGCACAGATTAGATACAGACAACTTGGTAGATGTCACAGAGGAGTCAGAAAATGTTAAGCACAAACCATTTAAAACAGGCAAGTCTGCAAATGGGTGATGGTGCATGTTGCTGAGTGTCTTCTCTGCCCCTGGCGAGTGCCCAGCTCTGCCGGGGCACCTCATCAGGGATGTGGCCGGCCACCAGGATGTCTGGCTACGAGCCAGGATTGGCACTAGTTCCCTTGGTTTGTCTTACGTGACAGGCTGGACCATCAGTCTGATGTGGGAGAAATGTGCCTGGCTTACAGAAGGGGTTAATCCACTTTCAGGAGAGGTTTCAATAGTTGTTCAGTGCAGAGAAATGTTTGTCAGAGGATACCAGAAGCACTGGGCATGCCTGGAGCCCAGCAGTGCTCCCAGTGATTTCAGAAATGCAGCACCACATTGTATATACCATGGCAGTTTATTAGTGTTCAAATTCACTCTCACCTTCAGTGCATTTCTTTCGCTACCTCCAAAAGGCAATGGGAGAAAAGCTGGGTTAGCAGTGAAGTAAAAATGGGTGATGCTAAAAGAGAAAGAAAAGTTCTCAAGAGTTCTCTGCAACGTCTCAGGCTACTCCCTTTGCGGTGGCAACAGGCTCTTAAATCTTCCTGTGAGTAAAACTATACATGAAAAACAACTTTTCTGGGTGCTATGAACCCAGAAAACCACTACCTGCAACCTCACCTTCCTAAGAGCTAAGTCTTAGGATTTACCTCTGATCTTAATATTATAATGGCACATCTCCCCAGTGCTCATACAAGTTCTTGTCCCCAGCTGTAACTTTTGGCTGTGGTTTTGGAAGACCCTGCAGTCTTCCAAATTTATGCTTGTTCATTGTTTACAAACAATGTAAAAAAAAAGTTAATTGTGAAAAATATGTTTGCTTACCTATCCATTCTGATTCTATTCATAGGAGCATTAAACATACTGCATCTATCCTTGTTCATTAAAATGAAAAAAAAAAAAACCCAACTATGCTGCATATTTAGAGAACCTGTATAGCTTTACAGAGAAGTTACTCCTGCTCAAAGAGAGGACACTGGCCATTCACAGCTCATTTATTGGCATCCCCTTTCTAGGAACAGGGAAGAGAATATCTCTCAGTGGAAAATGGAGTGGAGAAGTCTGTATCTTGGGGTCTGGCTTTCTTGGCATCTGGCTTTCTATTTCACATAGCCCTTAACTGAACAAACTCTGTTTGCCATCAAGGAGTGCAAGATGAAACCTGAATATTGTCATTCCCATTACATACCCTTCCTTAAACCTAGGAAGGGGCTTACCCATGACTAAAACTGAAAGTATAGGGATTTGACATGGTGTGTGTCCATATGTGCACAAGCACATATACACGAGTATTTATAAATCAAAGTTGTGCTAGTGGATCTTGCCGTAAGGTGTGCTACAAAGCACTTTATCTCTCTATACACCTATAAGAGAGTAATCAGTATTTGTAAAAAGAGACAATATCTTAAACAGGTAACCCTAGAATATCTAAAATCAATGTAAACTTATTTCACTGTAGCATTTCAGAGAGTGCAGCACTCATTAAAGGCAAGGAAAAGGCAATCAGGATTCATTCATACGACTAACATCCAGCAACACAAGCCCCAAAACTGGGTTTGTCTCTAGTCATTAATATTAGATGCTGCATGAAAAGCTGTTGTTGTTAATAAGCACACAGCTAATACACATAAGAATGCTAATTTGTGGCACATGGAAGTCTGTGGATTTATAATCAAGTTCATGAATCTGGGCTTTCCTGGACAAATTCCAACTTTATCCGGGTGAATTTTAGCTGAGTAAGAAATTCAGATTGGCATTCTTAAAGGAGCTGGCATAGATGCAAAGGCTCCCCTGCCTTTGCAAAACTGAAATAGCATTTTTTGTCTTTCATTGCAGGATGCATTCCACTCTAAATAGTTAAAATCAATGCGAGGGTGCCATATGTTGTAAACGTTTATCATTTATTATGCATTTAAGTGTGCACAGCACATACACCACAGTCTTGAACAGTACCTGTATAAAACTACAGACAGATTCTGGTAAATGGTGAAAGCTCATACCATGTAACATTGTTATCAAGGTTTTATCACAATATTTCAACGTTACAACTACTACCTCTGAATATATCTTGTGTGAGGCTGTCAGTTTTGGATTTCAAGGGAGTGAAAAGTGACAAAGAACCATTCCCAGGCAAATCCTTCGTGATCTGGTTTTGCTGTCTGAAACTTGGAACAAAATCATCAGTTGTCAGAGGTAGTGGTGATAGTTACATGATGATCGCTCACATATAGGAAACACAGAAAGTACAGAAATCCCCCAAATAACAGAAAAAAAAATCCTTAGGCACGACATTTCCTAGGCGCTCTCTTGATTTGACTCCACTTTTTTAAATTGTTATTTCTGTTTTGACAGCAGCTGGCTTGAGGTCTGGTCCTGCTCTACTCTGATATTACTGAACTTTGGTGAGCAGATTTTGTCTTCAAGGTCGTTTGTAAGTAGGCAAGTCTATATGATTCCAATAGAACAAAAACTTTTGAATAGGAATGTAAAAAGAAAAAAAAGCCAAACTCAAATTACCTGCAGCCTTGAGATTTGCATGTAGTTAAAAATAATTAGTTTAAATTGGAAGATGATCTGTAAACATCTTTTAATTCACTACACATTGTGTTTAGTCCCAGTTACAACTTAATGTGTTGATGTCACAAAGATAATATATCATTTAAAGAAATGAAAGAAAGAATGCAAAAGTAAAGGATCCTTTTTGTGATTCCCCCATAATCAAACCTGTCTTTTCCTTCTTTGCTTTAGAGACATGAGTTACACGTGCAAAATATATAAAGAAAAATATAGGGTTACTTGATGACGATATAGTACTGCAGCCTGACAGCTGTCTGCAAATATTTTCACCATGATTATCCTTACTAAAAGTAAATCGTGGGGTAAATATAGCTCAAACGTGACAAGGCTCAAATAGGACGCAACCAACTCTATCTTGAATACTTTTGGCTACATATGGAAAAAAAAAAGATTTGGGATTACAAGGATTGTTCCCCCTGGCCCTCCTCCAGAATTATAAGACCACGCAGGAAAGCATGTACCTTCCATGCAGATTTTGTAAGGAGACTGGCTTCAAGCGTTAGTGAGGTAGAAATTAATCAACTTTGTCAGGGAATGAGACGTAGAAGAAAGCAGCATATTTCTCCATCCAAGTACTGCACCAAAAATAATAAATAGTACAGAACAACCTCAATTACCTGAAATCAATCTAAATTCTATCTACAGAACTTGTTTCTTAAGAACCAGCAAATGATTTTGCTTTTCAAAAACTTATGAGTACTATAGTGTTTCACAGACTTTGAAAAATCAATATAGTTTCCAAATATGAGAGGGAATTTGATTTGAATAAGGTATAATTTGCTCATAGTAGCATATTTCACAGTGTGTTCATTGGGGGAGGCACAGATACTTTTTTTTTAGCCTAATGCAAAGCAATCGTATCACATATACACTTCAGTTAAGGGCCACAAAAGATTGTCTACCCCTATTTATCTAAACGGAAATTTTAAAACCCCACTGAGTTTATATAGTTGTTTAAGCCTCTCTGCTGCCTAGTAGCTCTGGGAAGACTGACTGCAGGAAAGTTCAGAGTTCAGCACTGGCAGATCTAAAAACAGATTTGTGGGGTAGCTCTTCAACGCTGCACTTTCTGTACCAGAGGTAAACCGATACTGGTTCAATGAAATAGCAACACTGCACAAAGGAGGTCAGACATTGTGTGTGGCTACAGGCTAGCATCAGAACTTGGAAAGGTTTATACAGCTCATTTTCAAAGACTAAGACCTTCTTTGGGAATCACGGGGGTTTTAAAAACACACAAAGAAGAGCAAAACCACCATAACAAACACATACGTGTACAACAATAGACACTGTACAACACACAAACAGTGCAAAACATTGTAATATCGGAATTGAATTTCACTTATTTTAGAACATGTAATAGCAGCACACCTGTGATAACTTAAAAATGAATTAAATAAACCACAGAGCAGAAGTTCTTCTACTGTTGCACAATGAAATGAAATAGCTTGGGTTGGAGGTTTGTTTTGCTTTCAGAAATTAAAAAAAAAAATCAGAACTATAAATTACTTTTGTGGCAATATATACATATTTAAATAATTAATTTAAATATCTTACACCTACTCTTGCATAAAACTCTCCAGTAAAAGTGCACCATGTTTCTTTTCCCCAAATGCATTCTCTGTCTTCCCCCATGCTGAGGTAGGTCTGAAGGGAGATGTCTCAGATTCTAGGAAGAAAATGTGTTACTGTCATTGTCGGAGATACTTTATTGCCTTTCTTTGTTCTTCCATTTTTGCTCAGGGCTATGTACATCCCGGGATAAATCCTGGATTCATAAGCATTGTAGTTGTTTGGCAGGAGAATCTCTTTGAATTTGCACTCATCATTGAAGTGGGTCTGAAATGAAAAGGAAAGAATGAGAGAGAAGGAATTTTAAACATCAGGTGTGGACATATTCTTGCTACCAGGTGTAGTAGGTGTGCTGCAGGAAAACACGCAGCTGACTTTCCCCCTGTTAGTTAGCTTTTGAAGTGTTTGTCCAAATGAAGCTTCAAATGACACTCAGCATTCAGAGGATGCCCATGTCCAGGCCAGGCATCTACACTGGAGCTGTGCCGGGAAGGATGCCCCGTAGCGAAGTCTGCACTCTAGGGGAAAAGGGGCACATTTTAACAGCGTGGGCAGTAAGGGCAGAGCCCTGATCTGCTGCCCTGCTTCTCTAATTTGGTCAGTGCCCTTTTCCTGTTAGTGAGGAGAGAGATATAACAGATGCTGGGACAATGAGAGCGATGAATTGTAACCCACGCCCATGTGCCCCTGTTAAAATGCATAGGTCCACTGATATTCCTGAGTCTGCATGTGATGAGTTTACCAGCTTCCCAAAGCAGTAGCTGTCCAACCAGCAATAAATTGTCTGAGAGGCTCTTCACTTCCAGTGATGTGGTTTCATAGGCAAGTACGAAGAGGGACAGGTGCTACAGGTGTGTTATCTGGAGAGTAACAAAAGAACTAATCTCTACCATTTCTGGGCAAAAGCCAAGGGTTTTGTAAGATAGGTCTCAGCCTGCCAGGGGATTACTTTGTCCAGGACACTAGAAAAGCATAACACCTTCATAAGAAATGATGCAAAAGGAACTATTGCACTTTGATGCTGATCCTACCTAGCTTGTAGTTAAAGCCAAAATCGTCTGTGACAGAACTGATGCCACAGCATCATTCTGGATGCTTCATGTCTTCATTTAGGTGAAAATACCCTAGTCAGCTCCGATATAGTTGGGCCCTTCTCGGCCCAAGTTCCTTCAAAACATTCATGAGAGATACGAAATAGAAAAGCTGTGGGTAGGGAAGGAGATTCAGGAGTGTGGGGTTGAAATGACGCTGACCACAGTAGCTTATACAGAAGTGAACTCAAAAGCAGAAAGACAGCTTGAAATGGGCAAAGACCTCCACTGTTATTGTCAAACTCAACTGGGTTTTAAAAGATGCCTCTAACTATTTGTTCCCAAGATTCAATATAAAAAAGATCTGTATTGTCTCCTAACAGATCTGCCATCTTATATCTATAAGCCTGACCTCTGAAGATGCTGAACGCTCATCAGAAACAGACTCTCCAACCAAAAGCATGAACAAGAAGTGATGAAAAAAGGTATGTTGCAGACACTTTTTTATCATGTCATAAAGAATCGTATATGGGGGCCTGGCTGATCACAACTTCAAGTGCCCTCTGAGATATGGGTGAGGGACTGCCATAGCTGCCTAAAGCTGTTTATATTTGAACATAAGAAAGATAAGGACTGTGGCTAGCACGGGGCTTGTTGCACAAAGGGACTTGCTCTGTTGAGGAACATGCTAGGCAAGATGGATAGCCATGGCTGAATGAATTTATTTTTTATGACGGAACCAAGGAAGGGCTGGAAACGCAAGGAGTGGGTTTACATCAAAAGCTCAGTGAGCTCAGCATCCCTGGGCAGCGCATGTTCCCTTGGCAAGGCAGCAAGGACTGCTCTGCATGCCTGGCCCAGGCAGGGCAGGGATGGGGCTTGGGCAGCTTCCAGTGCTGTGCACACCTCTCACCCCAGCTGGCTACAGCCCCCTCCCCAAGCACATGCCTGGTGGCTACTTACAGATCCGTAGAGTCTGCCTTTGCTATTCATGGCCACGAAGAGTCCACTTTTCACACCAAATATGCTCACCACTCCTCTTTCCACGGGAGAGATTTCCAGCAGACCTACGGAGGAGACACACGAGTCAGGGGGACTAAGGGTCATGCGCCACACTCACCGGGAGGCTCCCAGCCCCGGTGCCCCAAAGCAGTCCAGGTCCCTGCGCCCAGTGCTGCTGTGGGTGGCCGCAGACCCCTGGCCGCACCGCACTCCCCCACCCCATGCTGGGTCCTCTCTTCTTTTGGCTAAGCAGCTATTTTTACTCTGCCCCCCTGCATCCCCCCCCGGGTTAAAATAAGCCAGCGTGTGCTTGGGGGCGAACGAAACATTTGTCAGCGTGCGGCTTACACCCCCCCGCTGCCCGACCGTATTGTTTCAGTTGGGTGTCGGAGCCGCGGGGCCACGGGGTTAAGTCCCTGGCAGATGCTTCCCCGCTCGGGGGCGCCGGG